TAGAAGTTGTAGGAACTGTCACAGTAGTACTCTTAGTTGTTTCGGTAGGTACAGTCTGTGTCTCAGTGGTCACAGTAGTACTCTTAGTTGTTTCGGTTGGCACAGTCTGTGTCTCAGTGGTTGTTGCCACAGTCGAAGTTGTAGGAACAGTCACAGTAGTACTCTCAGTAATTTCAGAAGTCGATAGCTGTGTCTCAGTAGTTGATACCATAGTAGAAGTTGGAGGCACAGTCACAGTAGTACTCTTAGTTGTTTCGATAGGCACGGCCTGTGTCTCAGTAGTCGTTGCCACAGTAGAAGTGGTAGGAACAGAAATAGTAGTACTCTTAGTTGTTTCGGTAGGCACAGTCTGTGTCTCAGTGGTTGTTGCCACAGTAGAAGTTGTAGGAACAGTCACAGTAGTACTCTCAGTAATTTCAGAAGTCGATAGCTGTGTCTCAGTAGTTGATACCATAGTAGAAGTTGGAGGCACAGTCACAGTAGTACTCTTAGTTGTTTCGATAGGCACAGTCTGTGTCTCAGTAGTTGTTGCCACAGTTAAAGTTGTAGGAACAGTCACAGTAGTACTCTTAGTAGTTTCAATAGGCATAGGCTGTGTTTCAGTAGTTGTTGCCACAGTAGAAGTTGTAGGAACAGTCACAGTAGTACTCTTAGTTGTTTCGGTAGGCACAGTCTGTGTCTCAGTGGTTGTTGCCACAGTAGAAGTTGTAGGAACAGTCGCAGTAGTACTCTTAGTTGTTTCGGTAGGCACAGTCTGTGTCTCAGTGGTTGTTGCCACAGTAGAAGTTGTAGGAACAGTCGCAGTAGTACTCTTAGTTGTTTCGGTAGGCACAGTCTGTGTCTCAGTGGTTGTTGCCACAGTAGAAGTTGTAGGAACAGTCGCAGTAGTACTCTTAGTTGTTTCGGTAGGCACAGTCTGTGTCTCAGTGGTTGTTGCCACAGTAGAAGTTGTAGGAACAGTCACAGTAGTACTCTCAGTAATTTCAGAAGTCGATAGCTGTGTCTCAGTAGTTGATACCATAGTAGAAGTTGGAGGCACAGTCACAGTAGTACTCTTAGTTGTT